CGCGCTCCGCTACTCGGCCGCTCGCTTGCGTCGGGGCCACGGGGCGCAGCGTGGACTTTGCGCCCCGCGCGGGGAAGCCAGGGGTCCCGCTAGGCGGGTGGGTGGGTCGAGCTCTCTAGGCTGGACTAGAGCGAGGGGGTAGTGGTCCGGTCCGACCTGGAAATGGGGGCTGACGGGTCTAGCACCCCCGGCGAGGCATGTGGGGATCAGAGGCGAGATTGAAAGGGTCGCGGGTGGCGCCAGGGTCTGCGCCTACCGTCCTCCTGGCCGTAGCCCCAGCCGTGGTGGCCGGTCATGCCGCCGCGGTCCCCGAAACGGTGCACCTGTCCGCTGGGCTTGGTTCCGCTGCCTCGGACTGCGGCTCCACTCGCTTGCAGCGCTGAGCTGCCTTTTAAAGCGGCTGGCGGGCGGGAGGAGCAGTTCCCGGGGGACCCGCCCCCCCCAACCCCCAGCAAGGCGAGAAAGGCCGGCCCTGCCCCGCCCCCATTGCCATCCTGAGTGGAGATGGGAGTCAGGGGTAATAAACTTGTCCCCTACCCTCCTGGCTGGACGACTGTCCCCCTTTCCCCGCCTCAGCAAGTGGACCAGGGCTCAGGGCTGACTCGGACCCTCAAGCTCCATCCTCTTCCTAGAACCTTGAATCCCACCACCTGGACCCTGGGCCTCAGGCCTAAACGGCATTGACCACCATTGACGGAGCTGGAATGTCCCCTTCGTGCCAGGCACTTAACCCTCTCAGCCACTCATTGGCATTAGGCATACAGAACTTCCTGAGGCCATGAGACACAAAGTTCATATCTTAAGGTCATCCAGTAAGGGGGCGGGTGGGGTGGGGTGGGGGCACTCACACCCAGGTTGTCTCATCCAGTTTCTCAGGGTAAGGGGGTCTAAGGAGTGTGGGGGCCTGGGAACCCTGGGGTAGAGGTTAGGTGTGAGGCAGGACTAGTGGGTTAGAATGAGGACCCTCCAAACCCTGATGCTGGTGGAACCAGGGCCCCCAAAAGAGTGGAGAAGGGTGGTATCCACCAGTGGGCATGGGAACTGAAAGAAGCCAGCTGACTTCCCACCAAACCAGGTCTGATGCCTGCCTCCTCCCACCACCCCTTCTCATTCCCTCCCATGCTTCTTCCTGCCCCAGGGCCCCTGCCTGTTTATAGCTGCTATTTGTCTCCTTGATGCCTCTCGACCTTCAGCACCCTGCCCAAGGCTCCAGGGCCCTCACCCTGCACTCCATCTCCGTGTGCCTGGGTTGGCCCAGTAGTTTCCCATGAGCAAGTCCTGGTCCTTGCTGCGCCCTCTGCCTGAGATGCCCTCTGCCTCTGCCCCCCACCCACTGGCTCCAGTCAGTCCAATCAGATGCATTGTAGGATGTGGCCCAGAGCCACCGAAGGGGCTTGTCTCTGGCTAGGCCTTAGCAGTGGCTTTGGGAAGACAGATGGGTGGATGAATGGACACAGGCTCCCTACCTGGGCCCCTGGGCGCCACAGAAGTAGGAGGGCTGTTTGTAGACTGTCCACCAGGCAGACCTTGATGGGACATTTCAGGGCCCTGCATGTGGTTGACCTTGTCAAGGAGCCTGGCTGGCTGTGTCCCATCCCCGGTTCCTTCTCCCAGGCCCCAAGCTCCAGCTCCCAGATGGAGTTCTGGAGATTGATGGCTGGTTGTCTGGGCTGAGGTCTCTGGCCCAGCAGCAGAGACAGACCCTCAATATAAAATATTAGAGGCAGGGTTGCAAGGGGGTGGCCCTCAAACCAGCATGGGCCAGAGACTCACTCCAACACTGTCAAGGCCTCCGGGCCAGGAATGCCGTCTTCTGACCACCAGCTATCTTTCTCCTGGGGACACCAGGGACCCTTGGAAGCCAGTGAACGGGCTCACACATGTCAGCTTTGCTGTACTGACTCATTTGTCCGCACAGGGAGCCAGGCCTTGCCAATATCTATTTATAGTACTTAAAGGAAATGGAATTGGAGTTATTCAGATAGTTTCATGACCAGTTTCATCCACAGAGCGAGTCTGGGAGGGCGTTTCGCCCCATTGTATACATGAGGATAGCAGGGCTCAGAGAGGTTGAGTGTTGGGCTAGGGGATGCACAGTGAGGGACAGTCGGTTCCACCTTGTCTAAAATCACAGGGACAGAACGGATTTGGATTTTAATATCTCATCTGCATAGATATACACAGGACTCTGGAAGGAGGAACTTGGGAGAAGTTGTTGGTGTGAGGTGTTGTCAAATTGGTGCTGACTCATAGGGACCTGGGTGGCACAGAGCACAGGACTGCTGGGTCTGTTCCATCCTTACAGTCTTGCTGCATTTAAACCCGAGGTTTCAGCCACTGTGTTTACCTCCAGGGAGGAGACCTGACCCGGAAGGGTGGGAGAGGGTGGGGAGAGGGGTAAGAAGGCCATTCTTTACTGCCTAGTCCTTTGTTACCCTTGGAAAGACTTAACAACCAAATAAAACATGACCCAGTTCTTTCCTTCCTGCAGTCTCTCTTCAGCTCACCTACTCTGGCTCTTAGGAGCCCTGGTAGATTTGAAAGGCACCCACAGAGTCTTCTCTTTTCGGGTGAAGCCCATTGATCCTGAAGTTCACTCCAGCCAATCTAGAAGAGTTGGTGCCCTGTTCAGGCACCCCTGCCCTCGACTGGGAATTGTCTCTATGCTCAGGAATCACATGGGCACTGGTGGCTGATGGCTTTTGCTGTGTATGGGGGTGAATGTGGGGGGCTGGTGAGAGGTTCATGAGCAGCTTACCCAGCCACACCTCACTTGTCAGGCAACACATGACCGGATCACTCTGCCTTTCTTTGAGGCAGTGTCTGCTCTACAGCGAGGTACCCATTCCTGCCCTGCCCACTTCCTGGGAATATCTGCATACATTTAAATTTTTTTTTTTTCTGCATACATTTTTGACACAAAAGATGTCCAATGCTGAACCAATAGGCAGAATCATGCCTCCTTTTCCTATTAGACACAGAGCCAGTGGGCCAGGCTGGAAGCCCTGTAGCCCAGAGATTCTAACAGTTCCTTATCGTTAAAAGTATTTCCATTCTGTGTGTGTGTGTGTATTTTCATGCAGTGAAATGGAATTGGTCTGGGGTGTGGACTCAAACAAACCTGGGCTTGGCATCCAGCATCCCAGGTTGTGTGACCTGAATTTCCACATCTATAAGAGGAATAGGGAACCTAGGGTACTATTAGGAGAGTCAGATAAGGTGACATCTATGAGACTCCCAATGCCAAGGACACATGGCTTAGATCCTAAGACCTTTGCTCTTCTTTTTCCCTTAGTTCTTTGGGGCCACATTTAAAAACCAAAGCATGCCTTTCCCAATGATAGTAATGACACATATTCATTGCTAATATTGAAGGAGTCATGTAAAAATGGCACAGTAGCAGTATCTTCTGATATTTTCTAACAAGGAAGACAGAAAATCATTATGAGCTTTCATAGCCTAAGGCAGATAGCTATGAGGCAGAAGTCAGACTTAGTACTTCTTCCAACCATTTTATCAATTCTAATTCCAACTATCCCTCCTACAGCGCTATTTTATTCATGCCAATGGCCACAGAGGACTCACCGCCTATACTCATAGTTATGGGGCTTACTAGGGAAGTAACAATTTACAACTGTAGGTTCAGGAAGGCTTAGGACACAGTTCTTTGATCAGGAAATCTCAACTGTGACTTCAGGCAGGTGTCTCTCTGGCCTTTGGCCCTTCGGTCTGACCTATCCCCCGCATGGGAAGTGTTGCAAATCTCTTTCAGTTCTTGTGATCAGTGCTCGGAAGGACCCCATTCCACCAGTAAGCCTCTGTCCAAAGGCACTCCGTGGTTTGGCAAACCCATCTCCACCAAGTGCCTGGAGGCAACCAACTCTGCCAACAAGCCTCCTGCTTAAACACTCATTTTTCTCTCACACCATGGACCGCGGGCCACGGGCCACGCAGCTCATCTCCTGTCCCTCTCCTGGTTCTGCTGCCACCCTTTCACTGTCATGGCCTCTCACCGTCTCTTCCAATTCCAACTCTCTCTCTCTGTCTCCTGGGTTGGGGAGGCTCTGGGCACAAGGACCTCAGGTCCAAAAGAATGCGCCCCACTTCTTCTTGGTGATTGTGAAGTCCCCTTTCAACCTCTGAGCTGGCTCATTTTGAGCATAATGGGTGGGAAAACAGACCGTTCCCCTCACTGAGGCACGTACACCATAGTTACATGGCCCCACACCCACCAGAGTATCATACTCCTTATTTACATCATTTGTATATTGCCCAGTCTTCTTGTTGGGCTCCAGCACCTCATTTGCATAGCCTCACCCCAATATTTGGAGGAGGTACAGAGATGATCCCTAGAAGAGCCACGTTCAGGAACGTGCTTTGCTGCAGGCCACTCCTTTTTCCTTCTAGCCGTTGGCCTTTTTCTACTTGAAAGATTCTCCTCCCCTCCCAGTGATTTTACCAGTTGATCATGGTTATTGGCAGTTCGTCCTTCCGTAGGGGAGAGAGTCTTGAGGGTGAGATTACTCAGGCACTGGTCCTTCAGGTCTGCTACAGGGGACCACTTGGTCTGGTCAGGTCATTTTGGCTTCACTGTCTCTGCCCTCTAATACAATTTCACTGAAGCTCTCCTATGCTGTCCACACAGCGAAACCTTTAAGGGACTTTAGGTTCAGCCACTGGGTTCTAGTTTAGTAGTGCCTCCCCATCAGCCCACTTTCTTTTTTCCCCAGTTATCACCACACTTACAGATTTTACAGTCCCTATTAGCCTTGTTAGCCATCACCACTCACAGCTGAATTCTATAATCTGGCCACCATTTCCCTCCACTCTTCCCGAAACCCATCAGGAAACAAGGAATTTACTTAAGGGAGATCATTCTTCATCCCTTTCATTTTGAGTGTAGTCCACTTAATGAAAATAGGTCAGTCAGCCACTTCATGCCTTTATTTTCTTCCATTTTACATAATTTCTAAATTGCCCATCCCTTATCAAAACAGCATTCTGAGAAGACAAGCACACCTTGAACTGAGGAATTTTTTTTGTTTGGAGTAAACTTTGAGTATCTGATCTATTTCCAAAGTAATGGGTAGTCCAAAGCAAACCATCAAATTGCAGCATCTATACTAGCTCACAATGTTTTAAGCATCTTGCTCTTTATTCAGTTGGGTTCTGGTCAGCTTGTCCCTTGCTCCTGTAAGGCTGGGTGAATGGGTACCAGCCATAGCCTCTGGAACTTACACATCTTTTTTTTGTACATCAGATTGTCTAGCCCTTTCTCTCTTATTCTTAGCTTCCATGGAATAGGTCAATGGGTACCTCCTATAGGTTCAAGAGTTTA